AAACAAAAGCCCATTAACTGTCTGGAAATACTTAACGAACTTGGGGAAAAAAAGTCCTCAGAATGCTGCTACTTGTCATCAATTGAAAATTAATTCATTGAATTTGAATAGTTTTTCAGTAAAGGATTAGAACAACTCTGAATATTTTCAACTTATTGGCTTTAAATATAACTAATATTAAACATAATCAGGCAAAACTGATGGCAAATGAGAACTTTGGTCATGTTACAACATGAAAATTTTCTTCATGATCAACACTTTCTATTTCTGCATCTCTATAATCCCATCCAGTGATAGCAGACTTAAAAAACCCACCCAAACAATAAAACAGCACTTCAGAGGTCGGGGGAAATGTTAGCACTTTGTGTTGAATTACTGAAACATTTTATTTCCCTTTTTGTGCATTAAATTGAAAAGCTTTTGATGATTCCAGTAACTTATCAAGATAAACAATTTTTAATGTAGTTAAAATCAAAGGTGTGGTTGTGTTTTTTCTTGTTGTTCCTTTAGTTAGTGTGAGCAAATTATGTGGTAGAAAGGCAGTCTCAGCAGAAGCTGTGCAGTTGTGCTTGTTCACAGAGCAGAAGGAGCTTGGTTGTGTAGAGTAGTCCCCTACATTACTCTGGCAGTCAAGGAAAAAGGAGCTGTTAGTTTTATTTGTTACATTTTTTGTGGAAATATCTTGACAGCGGGAGGTTAGAAGGCAAGATGAAATATGGTCTGTCTGCAAGCACATTGATTTATGTGTGAGTGCATACGTGCATAAGAGATGAGCAGTTATACATGTAGAAATTACTAGAAAGGGCCAAGTCCCTGGGATACATTTTTTTTTTGCAAGACTGCATATGGAGAAAGAGCTACTTTTTTTTGATGTTATTCTGCCATTAAAAATGAAATTTCAGACACTGAATTGTGTTTTGTATTGAATCATAATCTCATACAGAACCCTTAAAGCAGACAATCACGGCTTTGTATTTGTAAAATGTCGACTGTTTTGCACTTAAATAGATGTTGATGCATTTGGGAATTACAACACAGTAAAGGGCTAAATCATAGTTTCTCCATTTGGTTATAATCCAAATGCATTTATATTACTATTATTATAAAGTGCTAGGAACACAGGCAGTCCCTAGCAAACACGTTAAATAGACAAGAGACTAAATTCTGCCCTTGGTTACATTTGCACATCTCCAGTGCAAGGTTGTTAAGCTGCAGAGCAGTCTCCCTAGGGAAGCTGTTTGAAGAGCCCTGCCATCGTTCTAACAAAGCTTGGGGATAATGTAGCACATGATGAGACTAAATGAAGAGTATTTTACTTTAGATTTGATGGCCTGCCCTTTCCAGCATCTTACAAACCAAATATCTTTTTTCCTATTTCCATGAGGTAGCCCCAGTCTCCCAGACCAGCATCCTGTCAGAACAATGTCAGGGGAGGAATGAGGGATGTGGTCTCCTCTTTGCCATATTCTTGCTTCAACCACACCATTGCTTGTGATCATTAGACTGCGGCTTCTATGAGGAGGCATTTTGACTTAAATTCTTCCAAGCTAACATGTCCTGTTCCTGTAAAATTCTCATTCAACAGAGAACACCCTGAGGGATGGTAAGGAATCTTCTGGAGTTGCATGGACAAGCTGTGAAGGACTAGAGAAAGCAATGCTGGGAAATGCAGGTTGGAGGCATTGCTCCAGGCAAGTCTGCTTTGTGCTGGCATCTAAAGCTGCAGCAGAGGTCATGAAAGCAGCCTTGGGATTGTTCCTCTTGCCAGAAAGGTGGAGAGTGAGATCTTCAGTGAGAAGTGAAATTAAATTTATTAGTGATTAAAAGGACAAGAGTGATGTGTTGGAAACAATGAATGCCAATGAGGCCTCTCTGCTGCTCCCCTAAGCAAATTGCAGTCTCGGTGGAGCATCAGTCCCCCAAATTGCAGTAATCAAGTCTGGAGCTGATGGGAGCATGAGTCACCACTTAATTTTCTCATCAGTGGAGGCCAAGTTTTAAAAATATTTTTAGATGCATTTCCACAGAGATTTCTGCCATCCAGTGACCTATAGAGTGACAATAAAATGAGCAATAGCTGCTGCTGAATCAGGTTTTGCTCCCTGCCACCTACCCTTCTGATCATAGTCAGGGGCAGGGAGGGCAGGTAAATTAAAGGATTTTGGAATTATTATGCAGAAAAGAGTCCTGCTGAGCTGATAAGAACACCTGGATTTGTTAAGTAACAAAATTACCAGTGAATTCTTAGGCTGCCTGGTAGGTTCAGATGAACTTTGTGTTGCTAGCCCCAGTCAGAAGCAGGTGTGAGATCAGGATCTGATTGTGATCCACGCTTCGAGGGACAGCCCAGCAGCTGCAGCCCATGGAAGAGGCTGTGCATCTCCTAAGGATCCCACACTTGTACATCTCATCTGCTTTTTGCCTGTGTTCAAAGCTGCCACCTGGCACAACCATTTGTCACCCAGGTAAGAAAAAGGAAAAAAGCTTCTGGGTGGCATCCTGTGTGGGAGGGCTACATCTAGTGTAATAGTCACAAAATCAAAGACTTGCAGATGTTGGCATGCTGGTGCTGGTTCATCTCTGTAAGAGAAAATTTACTATTCATGGTCAGTTTTCTTATTAAACAATTCCAACTTCTCAGGCAAATTAGCTGCCTGGAAAGGGAAGAAAATGGAAAGGAAAGACAATTGAAGGAAAGAATGAAATTGAAGGAGAGACAATTTCATTGATAGGATTAAAAAATTATAGAGGTCATGTGAGAACTGGCATTCTGCCAGGAGAAATGCAGGAAATAAAATTTGAGAGTCCTGTGACAATAATTGGGTATGAAATACTATTGACAAAAGTTTTTGTAGTTCTGTGCTCCCTCTGTTTCTTAGGATTGTGACTGCAGTCCGTCCCTGTTTCTATTCTTTCTCTGCTGCACAGTCCATACCCAAGATGTCACAAAATTGCTGTATTTCCCAGTATCTTCCCTGTGTAGTTTTGCCACTTCTTGTCAACACTGCTTGATGAAGTAAGTGATAAAATATCTTTTTCCTTTTTTTTCTCAATTTTAGCTTCTCCCAGTTAGCTGTCCCTAACTGAACCTGGTGTCATCATCAAGATGATGCTCTCATCTGTTCTCCAAGCTCTCTTAGAGTCCCTGTCATGTAGCCAATAAACCAGGGCAGCTTTCCAAGATGATGCTTGGGGAAGTAGAACTCAGCTTTTTGTGCTGACACTGAACAACTTAACCCGTGCAAATTACAGTTCTTGTGTTCTTTGTAGGGACTCGCAGCTCCCGTGGACGGGAAAACCCACATGATGCAGACCTGAAGCTCATTGCTGGATCCATTAGAGTCACTGTCAGTCCTTTGGGAAATCCCAAACTGCTGCTGACATATTTTGCCAAGTTCTCCAGCAAATTCTTTCTTTTTCTGTTTAATAATATTGATTCAAATTAGATAAATGTTGGGAGAACCTCTTTTTTTCTTTCTAAAAATTACCAAAAAAAAAGCCTTTTTGTATCTATTTTAGGTCTCTGTTTGCCTGAAAAATTAACTGTAATTTCCCAGAAGTGGCTCAGGACTACTATATTTGCCTCATACATTCATTCTGTCCCTTCCCCAAAACATACAGTCTTTTGAATACCTCACAGCAAGTTGCATAAAGCCCTTCTTTAGGAAAGAGCTACAACATCTGTTTATCTGGTCCAATTCTCTAATAAATAAAATATATCCCAGAGGCATAATAGTGTGCTAAAAATAAGAGTATGACACAATTTGGGCCAGCTAATCTGGTAACTCTGTTTGCTGCAGCTCCCGGAGTGTTAATGTGAGAAGCCTGTATCTTTCCAGCCCGGCTGGCTGTGAGCATCACAGCATGGATCTCTCCCAGAACCAGAGCCAAATCCCACTGTACTGTGCCATCCTGTGCTCACAAACTTCCTCCCTCTGGCCTCTCCAGGTGTAAAAACATAGGGGAATTGTGATATGTGAGATTTTGTGTGAGTCAGGGAGCAGAACAGAAGCGCCGCAGTCAGCAGAGCCCGACTTGTGTCATGTTTGCGATCAGGTAACTCCTGTTTGTGACACAAAACCACTTATTATAAAAGGCATATAGAGTTATATATAGCTGCACTGTCACATATCAATGTCCCAAATAATCTCATGTTAATTATCTATCAGGGCGATATCAAAAAACCCAACAAAATTCAAATCTTGCTAGTATCAGTTTTTCAGATGATTTTTGGTGGGTTTTTTTTGTTTTGTTTTAAAGAAAGGTGCACAGTATGTGAGGAAAAACTCCTCCATGTGTATCATTATGTATATTAAATCTCTATCCTCTATGTTCCATAATTTGATCACGTATTTTTAGGAATATATTTTGCTTATCTAGCTCTATGCTTTCAACAGCAAACTCCCTCTGCTAACTCATCTTGTTTGAATTTTTATATTTCAATTGAATAAGAACCTTGAATTTTGGTATATGCATAAATATGCTACAGTATATGGCAAGCAGCAGCTTGCTATGTTTAAAAAATAAATTTAGTGAGAAGTTTCAGTATTTTTTATTACTAGTGAAAATAAAATTTAGTCTCTTAAGATGGCACAGTGATATTCTTTGAATAGATGCTACTTTGAATGTGTTTTTTTCCCCAGAAGCCTCAGTTTAGGAGCTTATTTTCTTAGTAACAAAATATTTGCTCTGAACAATCCCAGAAGCATAATACATTAGTAGAAAGAAAAGAGTATTTATAGCCAGTAATTTAGCTGTTATAAATTATGACTGTAAAGAAAGAGAAAAGGGTTCCTTTTTAAAACTTGCGGCCAGATTCTGGTACAGCAATGCTGAGTAAGTTAAGTAATGTTCTTCTGATGAACAGTCAAGTCTTGAGTAGTTTCATTTAAGCATTTTATTAAGATTTTTCTCAAACTCATCTTTTTTGTTCTGTTTTGAGTAGACTTCCATCTGAATAAAACTCTCAGTGACGTTTTATCCTACATTAAATTCCCACTGACAAAGAGATGAGAATTATTATTGATTTTCTCCAGAAAGATCTAATAGCTTTGCCAAATAAATCATGCATATTCTAAGTGCGCTATTCATCTCTTCTACTGATTATTGCTTAAAAGCCATGATAGTTGTCCTTTAAAAATCAAAAGTCAAATCCATCCTTTGACTTGAAGTGAAAAATTTGGACTGGTGGTTGTTCTGGGCCTTATTATTGTTTGGTTTTTTGCAGTTTGGAAAATGAGAGGGTTGGCAGGCATGGATTCTTGGTAAGTGTGGATTCTTTCTAGGGAACTTGACCACTCCTACTTGACTGCAGGTGACTGGTTTATGTTAATGAGTAGCTCAGTTATTTACCCCTCCCCAGTATTATGGAACACCTCAAGTCTCCTGAGAAGCCAGAGCTGACAGTGGAGTTGATAATCTTCAACTTGGACACCCTTTGTGTCTGTGCGTCCTGTCTGTGTGTCAGGCATGGCCCAGTACCCTGACCAAGTCCCGAAATATTCCAGCATCTTCCACTGTTTCAGTTCCCTCTCTTCTGGAAGTTGTAGATCCTTTGTGCTTGTCTTATCTTTCAAGAATAAATTGTAGGAAATCAGTAAGTTTACTTAATTAGCTATTTGTTGATTTGAGTTTATTTGGTGCAGTCACTGGTGCTTCTGCAGCACACATTCCACCATCTCTTTGGTTTTTTCCTAATTAATGGAAGAGTCTGATCACCCACTTCCAACTAGTTTTTAAGTACCCTTGATAATTTTTGTTCTTGTTGTTTGGGAATTGATTTCAAGTTGAGACATGTCTCAACTAATTGCAGACATAATACCACAAAACTGTATGAATTAACAAATACTGTTATCTACCCTAGATACCAGTGTTTGTGCCCACACAAAGAGAATGCTGCTACAGGCTGAAATTAGAAGGCAGAAACAATTTTGTTTATCCAAAGTCTGTATTTCTCTATTAAATTTCAAATCACCATGGGACATATATCCCATTCAAAATATAAATCTATTCAGCATCTACACCAAAAAGAGAATTTTCTATATGACCCTTTTGCCAGCAGAAGTTGTGGTTCTAGCTGATATTACTCAATCAACATGGTACGAGATTTCTCCAAATGTGTTGACTGCCGTGTCCACCTTGAAGGGAAAAACAACCTAAAAACAACCAAAAACAAAACAAAACAACAACAAAAACAAACACACACACACACACACACACAAAAACACAACAAAAAAAAACCCAAAAAAGCAAACCACCACCAAACCCCCAAAAAACCCCGCAACCCAAAACCAACCAAACAAAAAAATCCCTCAAAACAACAACAACAACAACAACAACAAAAAAAACGTCCTTTTGTCACTATAGGACACGAGAAAGCACAACATGAGCCACTGCGATGGCAAGGTAAAAAGGAAGAAGGTTTATTTCTTGACTCCAACTTTTATGCTTTTCCAAAAGTGACAGTGGATTGGAGAGTGAATGGGCCACCTCTCCAAAGACATTGGACAAACCACCAGTACATCAACTTCTTCTACCCCCACGAAGGAATGCAAAACAGTATGTTGTTTATAGAAAATGTGTGGGAAAGTTTTCTAACAGAATGTAAACTCAGAAGTCTTAGAAAATCTTAAGAATCAGGGCAACATTGTTTTAATTTCTCCTGTTTGTCACTAAAATGATGCATTATAAATTTGCCAAGTCTTGCAAACCAGCACAATTTTGTATTCTGGGCACACTATTAATTTTCACAGGAAAATATGTGTTTAGCATCACTAGGTCTGTTCAAACATTGAATGCAGTTATTTTTCAATATTCTCCATACATGAAATTTAGCTACCTTGTTTTATCAAAAAATCCAGCTCTACTGGCAAACAAACCAACTTTTTAAAAAAGCTGGAAGAAGAAAAGGGGAAGAAAGAAACCCATGTGTGACCTCTGGTGGTTTTAAGATTTACTTAGGATATTGTACCTTCATCAATGATTAAATGACTCTCCCTTTTCAAATGTATTGAGCCCTCATTTTTATGTGGATGCATATTACTACACCAGAAATTCAACCTCTCACTGAGAAAAAGGGTGATTATAAGAACAGGAAAACAACTCAAATAATTAAAACCAGTGCAAATGTAAACCTTTTGCTAACTCCTTGAAAGATATTGACAATCTGAAGAAGTGTAAACACATGGGCCTACATTTCCCAAAATCAGAAATTATGGCAGATGCTCAACTGGCACTGACACATGAGGTAACCATCACTCTGGGAGGACAGGTACTCTCTGAAAACTGGGCACTTTTAATAAGATTGAAAAGAAAGCGCTCAAACACTGAGGTGTCCAAAAATTTAATTTGGTTTGTAAATACAGATTATGACATTTTTTCAAGTTTCTCATTTTTTCTTGTTTGTGTGTGTCTTTTCCTTGCTCTTTCTGAAAATAGAAAAAGGGGTAGAAAGCACTATATAACTAGAATAATATGTGTACATACACATATTGACTGTATACATCTGTATCAGTCAGCAGGTTAATATTTAGATACCATTTTGATTGCATATTTTCTTTTTGTTTGCTTAAGGATCTTCAGGAGTTTTTCACAATATATGGGCTGACATGGAAAGCAAAGCTGGATTTTATCAGATATATCTCAATGCTTCTTAATACCAGTGCTTTCATCAGTTTTTTCTCTATGCCTTGTTCTTTGTAGGCAGCACTTAGCACTTCAGAGTCCTTCAGAGAGAGTGCTGACTGGCTGAGAAGTTGCCCTGGAGAGCAGGGACATGGGTATTTTCCATTCTAGATACATAGGCCAAAATACCACACATACATGACCAAGCTGACTTTTACTTAGGTACTACATGCTAGGAAAAGTCAGTCATATTGTCATATTTTAAAGAATGAAAGCAAAATTGTCCACCTTGCTGACAAATGGACCTGTGCTTTCCTGTGTGCCAGGGGCTGCGCACCCTCATCCTGCAAGCAGAGGTGTCTACAAAAAAAGCTGGAGAGGGATTTTCCACAAGAACAAGTAGTGATAGAGCCAGAGGGAATGGTTTCAAACTGAAAGAGAGCAGGTTTAGAATAGATATTAGGAAGAAATTCTTGACTGCGAGGGTGGTGAGGCACAGGCGCAGGTTGCCCAGAGAAGCTGTGGCTGCCCCATCCCTGGAAATCCTCAAGGCCCAGTTGGATGGGGCTTTGAGCAGCATCTGGTGTGAGGTGTCCCTGCCCGTGGCAGGGGCTGGAACTGGATGATCGTTAAGGTCCATTCCAACCCAAAACATTCTTGCCAGAGGTTGCAGTGCCAGGACGTGGAACCGGCTGCTCTGTGACATCAGCCCGGGGCGAGGCTGCGGCAGTGCTGCGGGCACTGCGGCTGTGCTGGTGCACGGAGGCTTTGCTCCCGCAGCTGCCACGAGCCACGGGCAGCGATGCTGCTGCTCGGTCTCCTGGTTCTGCTGGCCACGTGCCGGCCTGTGCCGGCCACGTGGAACACCTGCGAGTAAGTGGCCCCAGGCTCGGGGAGGGAGCTTGGAGCATTTTGGGGGCTCCCTGGAGAGCTTGTCCTCCGTTGCCAGGCCACAGCTTCCCAAACCCCATGGGGAAGCCTCAGTTCCTTGTGGACAGGCGCACACCCCATGGCCTTCCCTGGCGTGTTATCCCCACACACCTCGTGGGGAGCTTCTGCTGGAGCAGCAGCAAGCCATGGAGCAGGATGGAAATGGCTTTCTCCTTGCAGAGGAAGCTGTGGGCTCCGGCCCTTGACTTCTGATGAGGAGCGAGGCATGACACGCGTCGTGGGTGGCAAAAGTGCCGAGGCAGGGGCCTGGCCCTGGCTTGTCAGCATCCAAGATACCTCGGTCTCAGGCACGGGGCATCTGTGCGGAGGTTCCCTCATCAACGCACGGTGGGTCCTCACAGCAGCCCACTGCTTTGCCGACTCCAGGTAAGGAGGAGCAGGAAACAGGGATATCCCCACAACATCAGACGGTGCCCTGGCAGCAAGGGCCATGCACTTCTCCCATCTCATTTCTTTGCAGTGTGCCCAGTGCCTGGGCAATGCAGAGCTCAGCTGAGAAATTGCTCAGGAGAAGGCTGGGCACATGCCACTACTCCCTAGCAGCCCCCAGCTGACATTCCCAGAGCCTGAGGCGTGCTAGAGCAGTCACTGCCTCCATAGTGCTGCTTTCCTCTCTGCTTTGGGAAGCAGAAGGCTGGTCACTGCTGGGCTGCCACAGCTCCAGGCTCTGCTCCCTCTCACCCCTCTCTCACGTGCCTTCAGGAACATCAGCACCATGCGCCTGCTGATCGGGGCCACCCAGCTGACTGAGCCGGGCCCTGGGGCCGAGGTGCGCCTGATTAAGCGGCTGCTGGTTCACAAGGAATACGGTTCTGCCGACCAGAGGAACGACATCGCGCTGCTGGAACTGAACGAGCCCGTCCAGTGCAGCTCCTACATCCAGCTGGCCTGTGTGCCCAACGCCACGCTGAACGTGGCACAGCTGGAAACCTGCTACGTCGCTGGCTGGGGTGCCACTACGGCAAGATGTGAGTTGCCAAAAATGGAGGGCAAGCTCGATACACTGGGAAGGTGGGTTGGGCTTCCTGACAGCAGAGGCCAAAGCCAGAATCAGGCTGCCTACTCCCTAAAGGCAGACAGCAGGGACAGAGAGCTCCAGCACCTCTGTAGAGACAAAGCCAAGCCCTTTGTAGGGAAGGGGATCACCCCTAGATGGGGAAAGTGGCAGTGAGCTGCTGGGTCCTCATTCCCTTCTGTGCTCACAGCTCAGAAATCAAGTGATGTCCTGCAGGAAGCCAAGGTCCACCTTATCAATGTCCAGATCTGCAACAGCAGCGAGTGGTACCAGGGGGACATCCATACCCACAACTTGTGTGCTGGCTACCCGGAGGGTGGCATCGACACCTGCCAGGTAGGAGCGTCACTCAGTGACAAGTCACTCAGCCCCCAGCCGCACAGGCAGCACCGCCCCAACACAGCCCAGCCCCTGCTTTCCCCGGCCAGTCACTCTCAGCCCTGGCTCCTCACCTTCGCTGGGGCTTCCCACCCATTCCCTGTCTGCAGGGCATAGCCCAGCGCTTCCCTTGTCTCAGAGGCCTGGCACTCTGCCGAGAAAGCCCTGCTAGTGCTCTTGGCAGTCTGGGGGTCCAGATACCAATATTGGAACATCTGTGCTCTGCACATCCAGGATCATTCTGCAGAGCTGAGAGAGAGCCTGACTTCATAGGCCCCCAACCCACTCCCAGCCAAGCTTCTGGAGGCTCCAGCACCTGAGCAGAGCCTTGCTCTGCTGGGAATACAGCTCTGGCAGGGGCTGTGAGAGAGAAGGAAGCAGCACCAGTGCTGACAGGGGCCACCAAACACCACTTTAATCCTCTCTGGTTCTCTGCAGGGTGACAGTGGGGGTCCACTCATGTGCAAAGACAACAGCGCTGACTTCTTCTGGGTTGTCGGAGTGACCAGCTGGGGGAGAGGCTGCGCCAGAGCAAAACGGCCTGGAATATACACTTCTGTTCAGCACTTCTATGACTGGATTCTCATCCAGATGGAGCTACTTCCACAAGTAGAATCTTCTCGGGCATGGAGTCATTATACAACCACCTCACAACCCTGGACTCATCATACGAATGCCCCATGGCCCACTCAGAAGCCATGGCCAAGACCACCTTCCACTTATAATCCATGGCCGAGACCACCTCCCACTCATAAGCCATGGCCAACAACAGTGCCTACTC